AGGTAGACCTCATTTTTTACATCAATTGCTTGATGCAGCCATCCATTAGCTGCTCAGACCACATGTTAACTTTTCTACATTGGTCCTCAGTTTTGGCTGCCAGAAATATATAAGCTTGTCCCATCTGTTGTTGTGGAAATCATGTCAAGGAATGGAACATGTAGAATCTGTGCATGTATATGAGGGCAGTGTTAATACATTGCTGAGTTAGTGCAAGTTTAAATCCCAAATCTTGGATTAAGCTGGCAGTCAGCTGTCTGTATAAGAGTTCTTTGGTGGCATGTATCCCATTTTTCTGGCTTTGTGTGTTAACATGTTGATCCTTTGAAAAATCCATCTTTTCCCATTCATTTTCTTTGGAGTCCTAGACTGTATGTGCTTACAATGTGTAAGATCCAGAGTATCAAACCAGAGTACCTTGAACAAGTAAAAGGAACCTGACTTATGTGGGGATGTTAGTCAAGTTACCAGTATAAATAGTTCAGCCTGCCCAAATCTTGGATAAAGCTGGCAGTTTGCTGTCTGTAGAATGAGTTGTCATGGGATCAAGCCCATCCTTTTTGCTGGTGGTGTTTTCTAGCTAAGCCTTTGTAAATATCCACCTAGTCCCATCCATTTTGCTTACTTCCAAGACTAATTGCTAAGAATCTCTGAATTGCACCGTATCACCCCAGAGCATCTTAGTTATATGTATTACCTGTATTAAATTTTATAAAATAACCTCATGTGGGTGCAAGGTGAGTTCTTCAGAGCACCTTAAACATGTACAATGAATCTGTTTAGGTGGAGATGCTAGGAAAATAAGCAGTATAAATAGCTCATCCTGCAATTTTTAGAACCAATAAGTGCCACTCTCTAACCTGGGTTCTCAACTGTTCCCTCAGCCTCAGGCTATTTCAAGTGCCTTAATAGATGAGATATAATGCAATTAGTAGGAAACAGAATTCAATGTCAGTGGTACACTTTGAAATAGTATTTGCCACTGCATTTCTTGCCAATTAAGGTATTATTAAAAATGGGTAGACATGATGTCCTGTTTCCTAATTTTAACTGACAAGAGTGGGATAATTAGTTGTTGTTGTTGTAGGATTTAATGCCATTTTTCAGCACAAGATAGGCAATACATGAAGGCCAGTATTAATGGTAGAGGAAGAACCACCGACCCACCCCATGAGAAGCTACTGGCAGGCGTTCTCACTTACCCACCTTAGCTGAGTTTTAATGGATTGTGACACTATTAATTACAAGGAAATCCCTTTGACCTACTATTATTTTGATAATTTCATATATGGTACATATTTACACATATAAATAATGGTACATACAATTCCTTTTAGAGGAACTGGAAAAAGTAATGTAATTTAATCCTTAAAGAAAACAAAAAGCCATTATAATAAGCTCAGTTTAGTGATGAACATAGTAATAGAAAATTGCTCCAACTTTTTACATTTTACCTTAGGCAAAAAATGACTGATTTTGAGAATTTGTTTTAGGTTTATATGTATTTCTCAATGTAAACTAGTTCAAAATTTTCTTCCTTTTAATAAATATTGTAAAAAATGCATTTACATTTTCATGCTTAAACATGTATTCATTACGTTCATTAAGTTTCTTCAGCATTTGTAGTTTGAAACTGTTTTATCAACTCAGCATTTTTGCTGAGTTAAATAAACAATATTTATTTTGGAAACTTTGTCAAGTACAACTACAAACAATAAGTAGAACCATATTCATATTTGATTTTATTACAGAACTATAAGTAGCCAATGTAGCAACAGGAGAGGTGTTAAGTCAGTGACATTTCTTTGCTGGGATCTCATTAATTCACCTATAATAGTGTGCTTTGTTTCCCCAACCAGCTTTTTTCTGTCAATTTCCTTAGCTTGTTTTCTCTCTTGCTTCTTTGCTTTAGCTACCAGGAATATACAAGCATGGGGATGCATCCAGATGCGGTGTAATGTATATTTTTATATTTTAAATTTTTTTTGATGGGATATTTATTTCATAGTGTATCTGAAGGTTCGTTCATCCGATTAAGTTTCAATTACTTTCTTGGAGTCTCTCCCCTTTTTCAAAGTTTTTGTGACATTTGCCAAAGGTCTCCTTTATCTTGTTTGTTAAGGAATCAACTTTAGATATATCCCAAAAGTTTTTCTATTTCATTTTTCCATTATATATATATATATATATATATATATATATATATATATATATATATATATATATATATATATATATATATATATATATATATATACACATTCATACATACATACACCACTCTTACCTGTACTTGTGTAGCCTATACTGTTTTTATACAAGTATGTATCTACATCTATACATATGTATATACACATTGTTGATTATATATTTCATTCACTTTAAATAAAATAAAATTTAGAGATTTAATATTATGGAATCTGTAAAAAAAAATTTTAGTGAGACGTGCACTAAAAGAAAAGAAAAAATTAACCTATTGTTTTACTTTTTTGGGGGGTGTTTGTATTGTGTGGTCTCCATCTTTATATATATATATATATATATATAAGATATGATAAGTTATTATCATGTACTGAGTATCTGGATTGCATCCTGCAGTGAGTAACATTTTTTTAATTCTTTTTATGTCACTCTCTGCAGTTTGCTCCTCAAATGTACTGTATCAATTAGGTAGCCAAATTACCTGAAAGTAAATTATACTAGAATTTAGTTTGGTGTTAGTCTAGGTCACCCTTGTTATTCATATTTCCCATTTGTGTTTCCTGTCTCTCCATGTGCTACACATTTGTCTGAGACTCTTTTACAGGCCAGTCCACTTCTCGTAGCACCATGTGGCATAGGCCCACAACCTCTACATCTCTTCTTCCATGTTTAGGTTCCCTGTCCCATATATAGAAAGAGAAAAATAAAGATACATGTATTATATAAGAGATGAGGTAAATCCAGATGATCTATTAGGTATTATTAGATTCAAATCAAAATTTTAATAGTTCCTTATATTTTATTTTTTAATTATAATTACTTGGCCAGATGTCTTAATTATTGTTTTTATGTATTCAGTTACTTTCATGTCTCTTTGATAAAGTTTCCATCAAAGTATAGTAACATATTTTTTTTGTATTGCTCATTTATTGATTTTTGTTCTATTCTTTGAATTCATTTTTTTTTTCACATTCCGTTATTACATGTCTCTGTTTTCTCCTAGCTCATTCCCCATACTTGTTTTGTTTTATTTCCTGTGATTGTTTTTTGGTGCTTGCTTTTCTTATCCATTCATAGGTGCTTTTTACATTTGTTTGCCACAATTCCTTGTTATCCCTGTATTAAGACAAAAGATTTTTTTATATTTATATATATTTAATATATTTTTTATAGTTTATTTATCTTTTTTAATTTTTTCTCCAGTATTTGTTTGTAGTTTTCTTTTTCCTTGAGTCAAAATAAATTCCCAGAGCTTTCACTGTTTTTTATATATTGGGGAGGTAAACCAGGGTTATTTCCCCTCCAGTTTCCTGATTTTGGTATTTCTGCATTATCATGATTTATTTTTTACCTTGATGCTTTACCAAATTTATCATACTACTTTTAAATGTTTAAAGGAGTTTGTGTCTTTTATAAAGTGGGTGCAATCATTAGCTTGTTTGGAGTATTTTAATTCCATCTTTTAAATTTGGTATTTTTATCCCTCCTATTTGGTTGTCCTTATCTTTATACTCAGTACTTCTATTGTTATTATGTCTAACAGAATTGATAGTGGGCACCTTTGCCTCAAAGATCTTTGTATCTCAAAATTATCAATTTCAGCCCCATTTCCCTGTACTTTTGCAGTGATTTTGTTGTAGAGGATTTCAGTCCATTTTTGGAAATTTTCCCCAAAGCCAAATTTCTCAAACCTTATGTATGTAGTTATGCTCAATTCTATCAAAAGCTTTTTCTTGGTATTTTATTTGTATATCTCTGCCTTTTGTCCCACACGTCTGGTTTGTATGGATCATTTTTCCATGCAGTTTTTAACTCCGCTAAAAGTTTGCTAAGAAGTTTATAGTCATTATTTAGGAGGGAGATGGGTCTCCAGTTTTTTAAATCCTCCCTCTCTCCTTTTCTTTTGTATATAAGAGAAATTAGACCCTCTCTCATGAATTTTGTCATTGTGTAACTATCAAGTATTATATTATTGTATAAAGATTGCTCCAACTTTGCACTCATCTTAATTATACACTTTGAAAAAGTATTTGCCGCTGCATGTCATGCCCATTAAGATATTAATGGGTAGACCTTATGTCCAGTCTCCTCATTTTAACTGACAACTGTAGGATAATTAATTATACTAATAATAAAAGCTACTGTCTTTTTATAGACTGTGAAAATATTAATTACAAGGAAATCCCCATGATCCACTATTACTTTCATAATTTCATAGATGGTACATAATTACACTCAAAATAGAGGTACACAGAATTCCTTACAGGGGAAATGGAAAAGTAAAGTAATTTCATATTTAAAGAAAACAAACAAAAAGCCCTTATTAATCTCAATTTATTGATGAACATGATAGAAAATTGTTTCAACTTTGCACATTTTGTGTATATACAGTACATAGACAACAAAATAGAAGATTTTGAGAATTTTGTTTTAGGTTATGTACATGTCGAACCACACATGTTCCAAATTTTCATCCATTTGATAAGATATTGTAAATAAATGCATTTATATTTACATACATACATACATACATACATACATACATACATACATACATACATACATACATACATACATACATACATACATACATACATACATACATACATACATACATACATACATACATACATACATACATACATACATACATACATACATACATACATACATACATAGGTATTTATTAGGTTTATTCAGCATTTGCAATTTTAAACAAAACGTTTTATCTCAGTTAAACAATATTTTTTTTGGAAACTTGTCAAGTGCAACTACAAATATTTTAGTGTGTGATCAACTGATTGGTGACCTAGTGGTTAGAGAATCCACATCAGATGCAGGAGGTTCTGGGTTCAAACCCCAGCCGAGTCATTCAAAAGACATAAATATGTTACTAACAGCTGCCTCACTAAGCACTCAGAATGAATCTGTCAGTGTTAGGACTGGTCAGCATGGTGTCAGGATAAGTGTGTGGGAGATCATACTACATATCTATGGCATATGTCCCAGTGCTAGACATCACTATATATATATATATATTATTTATTTTGCTTGTGTGTTAATTTTAAAAATTCTTTTTATTAAATTATTTTATCATATTGTATTGATTATTTGCACAGGATTCAATATTTTAAAAGTACAGTCTGTGTTTACAGAACTGAAAAATATTTCATTTGCATTATTTTAGCAGCCTTCATTCAGACACTTGGAAGTTTAAATGATTGTTCTGTATCAATATCATACATACTACATATATCTAATTATTTTTTGTGTGTTAATTTTAAAAATTCTTTTTATTAAATTGTTTCATCATATTTCATTGTAATGATTATTTGCACAGCATTCAATATTGTTTTAAAAGTACTGTCTGTACAGAACTGAAAAGTATTTCATTAGCATTATTATGCCCTTGTTCAGACACTTGGTTACATGTTTAAATGATTGTTCTGTATCAATATCATACATACATTACTAAAGTGATGACCTTGTGTCCTCAACATTTTTTAATTATTGTGTTATAAATAAGACTGGGCTCATGTGTCAGGTGCCTTGTATATAGTGATCATGCAACCTATCATGTGTCAAATGACATTTTAGTGGAATTTATATTTAATATCACTATTTATGTAATTCAATTGTAAAAGTAGATCAGAAGTATTTCTGTAGTCACCAATTGAGTAATTTGTATCACTGAAAAATAAGTGCTTCATCATCAAAGCTTTGTAAACAGACATTCAGTGGAAATTGTTTATTCAAAGTGCTAAGACCAGAATATTCTTTTGTGATTCATAAAATTCAATGTGGAACTTTCGTCATTCATTTTAGTGATAGATAAGACTTGTTCAATTCCTGGATTAGGATTAATTTTTGGATATTATATTATATTATATTATATTATATTATATTATATTATATTATATTATATTATATTATATTATATTATATTATATTATATTATATTATATTATATTATATTAATAGTGTTTCAAAGTCTTTTTTCTTCATATTTTTACAGATTCGTTGGGAAATAAATTTTCGTTAACAATTTACAAAGCTTGTTGGCTTCACTCTTTTCTTTGTTTCTTTGAACGAGCCAAGATTTGTAACACAGAAAATTGGGTTGCTCATCCTTAGATATTGCAATTGGAAGAGAAGCAATTGTAATTGCAATTAGAGAAAGAGGGGGGAGAGAGACAGGACAGAGAAAGAAAAACAAATACAATTGAAGATGCAGAAAGAACAAATGCAATTACAAAAAGAACAAATGCATGTACAGTTAAAAAAAGAATGAAAGGAAATTTCAAATTAAAAATGAAAGAATTTGACCTGGCAAGAGACAATGATCTCACTCCACATACAAATACAAGTTTTTACATTACATGAAATATCAGATTGGTGCACACTTTTCAAGACAAAGATGTAGACAAATATTTTTATTTTGAAAAGGTTCTTAAAAATTTGAAATGGCCAAGGGAGCATTATTGCAATGTGTACTTTTTGGCAAGGCCTAATATAGCTATGCATCCTTGTCAGTACAACAAAGATCTGACTATGATTCAGTCAAGGAGTGCATCTTATGGGGTTATGCATTAGTCTCGGAGTCTTATTGGCAAAAATTCAGAAACTATAGAAAATAAACTGGATGAACTTGTCAAATTTGCTAGACTAAAAGAGCAGTTATTTGAAAGATGTTGCTTAGCCCAGAAAGTTGAAAATGATTTATGATATCAAACAATTTGTGTTTAAGACCTGTTCTTTATGACATTAAGAATCATCTTGAAGTAGAAAAGATTAAAACTTTGGAAAATACTGCTCTTGCTGCTGATGATTATTCCTTAATTCATAAAGTTCCTATTGTAAGCAAAACTTTCACTCAGCAGTCCCCTGGTAGAAAGGTATTTCAGAATAAGACAACTCCTAAAACTCAATCTGGCACAACTTCTAATAATCAAGTTTCTGAGAAACTTGATTCAAAGTCCATGTCTATTCCTATGTGTACACCATTTCTGATTGCTTCTAATTGAAATATAGGCATCTTAATCAAGATAGACCTTTTGTAAATGTTCTTTTTATCTAAGAGGTCAAGGTCACAGTTATATATTGAAAGCAATATATTTGTTGGGTCTAATAAACCCAGTGTAATTTTATTATGGAGAATTATGAACCATTCATGTCGAAGGGGTCTATATCGCTCCTGGGTAATTTCGACAATCCTATCCCTATTAAAATTTTATGGGATACAGGAGCTTCTCAATCTTTTATTTTCAGGTATTTTGCCTTTAGTTTGAGAAGTCCTGTTCAATTGAGTGTTCTCATTCAGAGAGTAGAGTGTTACTTTGTTAATGTTCCTCACCATTCTGTAAATTTATCACCAGACTTAGTTTCAGGACCTGTGACAGTCTGTATAAGGTATAATTTACCAGTTGAGGGCATTCATTTTGTAGGTTGTAGTTGTAGTTAATCCAGTTGTAACTGTCAAAGCCTTTTTTGAATCAGAAAGTTTAAACTATTAAAAAAAATAATACCCTGAATTAACCAAGCTTGTGCAGTTACCAGAGTTATGTCAAAGAAAACTCTTGAGAATGATTCTGATAAGAAAATTATTCCTTTAGCTGACAGTATATTGGTCAAGCTTTTGATATCACTTCTCCTGATTTGGATCAATCAAAAGATGTTGATCAGTGATCCTCATTTAACTACTCATTCTCTTTTATCTAATCAGGGTGATAAATGACAATCACTTGGGTTTTTTTAGTATAATTGTCTAAGATCCAGGTTTCTGAAAATGGGTTCATGTATACATTTTCAGGGTTTGAAACCAGCAATAGTCCATTAGGCGGAGACTAGTGGATCTCATTAGACTAATACTGATGTTAGTCTAATGGGACTAAGAAAAATTTTATTTAAATTTTAAATTTGATAAAGTGTGGATAAGGCTACTGCCTTCTGAATCTGCAATGATGGCAATTGTTTTTCCACTGATTATAGTTTATTTAAACTACATACTTCTTAACATGCTTTGATAGCTAAACCCGTATATACCTCTAAACATAATTTGACAAATATTAACTCTGAAAAAGAACTTACTTAAACTGGTTTTAAACAAAGTAAGATAACATATATTCTAAACTTTTTTTAGTATAATACCAATTTCTAAGAGATTTTTCATATACTTGACAGTTATATTTTTAAATGTGGATATTTTTTTCATTATTTTGAATGCCCATATTTGTTTAATCAACATTATTATAAGTACATGGACATGATGTCATGATAATAAACAGATGTCTCGCAGACACTTAATAGCACATATTTGGACCCCAATTTGTTATTTGGGACACCAATCACTTGGGCGGGAATCCTCCATATGCATATAATCGGTGGGTGGCAAAATTCAAAGACTTGCCAGTCCTGCTTCAGCCACCTGCTTATTGAGTAAATTTGCTGATACGACAAAATTCAGAGATAAATAGACCCCCTGATGTACATGTGGTCATTTATAAGAGTACATCAAATAAACAGCTTTAGCTTTCATAATTTGTGTTCATTTCTGAATGTAGCAAAATAAGCCTAGGAATCAAGACATGTTGAGACTTGGACAGAATGCCATTCACAAATTTAGACAAGTATTTTGGAGTTAAACAGCAAATTGACGAAGATTGTAATGAGATTCAGAAGAGTGCTAAAGTTGTTAGAACTGATGGGGTATTAGCCAAGAGTAAGAAAGTATATGATGCCTAGCTTAGTGCTTGGAATAAAACACCAGTAAAAATGTATGATCATGTTGCTTGCAAGTTGGAACACAGTAATGTTGTGGAAGTATTCGAAAAATAATCCAATACAATTCACCATGGATAGTTAATAGTAGTCTTGGTCTCACACGGGAAAATGTGATGCTGACATGTCTTGAAAGTAATCGACGCAGGGATGCCAGTTTACAAAACTGAATGTGGTGGTAATTGTGTCTCTTCAGGAATTACTTGTAATTGTTCACGTACAAATCTACATTGAAGAGCAGTTTAATCCAGTTTGTAGATTGCAGGTCTACCCGTTGGCCTTACGACGCTGTAAATTTTATCTGCGGTCACACTCCAAGTAGGATCAGTTGCTCTTTTTTACCCTCTTCAAGTTTACCGGGTTCATATAAATATCTTAGTCACATTACCTAGCACTGGTTGTTTCGAGGGAGGGTCATGCCGTTGTATTGGTATGTGTTTTGTGATTGCATTGGTAGGTTTCATAGAGGTTGCATGAGTAATTTCATTATTTAATGCAGCTATCAAACTTAGTAATCTTGCAACCCATTCACGAGATCTCTTTTTTTTCTTTGCATATTGATATCCAAATAATATCTCAGCAAGTGTTCGATTAAATCGTTCAATGATTGTCTGATCGCGATGAATTTCCGTGTGTCCCCATCTGATTTTGACATTATGCTTTTTCATCAACGATGATGCAGGTCTACCCGTTGGCCTTACGACGCTGTAAATTTTATCTGCGGTCACACTCCAAGTAGGATCAGTTGCTCTTTTTTACCCTCTTCAAGTTTACCGGGTTCATATAAATATCTTAGTCACATTACCTAGCACTGGTTGTTTCGAGGGAGGGTCATGCCGTTGTATTGGTATGTGTTTTGTGATTGCATTGGTAGGTTTCATAGAGGTTGCATGAGTAATTTCATTATTTAATGCAGCTATCAAACTTAGTAATCTTGCAACCCATTCACGAGATCTCTTTTTTTTCTTTGCATATTGATATCCAAATAATATCTCAGCAAGTGTTCGATTAAATCGTTCAATGATTGCCTGATCGCGATGAATTTCCGTGTGTCCCCATCTGATTTTGACATTATGCTTTTTCATCAACGATGATACTAAACCAAGAAATTCTTTGCCAGGATCAACCTGTAATAGTTGGAACCATCGCAGGGGTCCTCGTTGATAAATCGTTCAAATGCAGAAATAACTTAAGATGCTGTTTTAGTTGATAATGGCTCAGCTTCTTTATATCTACTTGCAACGTCAATGACAGTTTATGCGTATTTGTATGCGAATGATTTTCAATAGTATCGTGTGGTTAAAACAAAATATCTGCTTTGTGAACTTCATTGGGAGCAATGACATCAATATGTGCACACTAAATTTCTTTGGGTGGTGTTAAATAATTTTGCCATATTGCCGTGCTAACCACGCTTTAGCAACAGAACATGAGACACTTGCTGTATCAGTAATTTACTAATCGCTGCTTTACGCCTTGAATATCCTCTTGGACTATAACAAAACGATTGTATCATAATGATAACAATACTCATTTGATTAATTACCAGCCCCTGAGTACTAATTTGTCTTCATTGTAGATTTTACTAGGAAGTTAGCAAGTTTTTCTGAGAGATTTATTTTTTAGCTCATTTAATGCGTGAATCTGCTTCACATCTGCAATATGTCGTATTTGCAAATCTTTTATACGCGATATCATGAACATGACACTGATCAATTGTATTTATTGGATACTCTCCAAGTTATGGTTGGTCTCGTTCGTCAAGTCGGATATCAAGTCAGGTTTAGGACCCCAATAATTATATCCGGGTAAATTTTATCCCCTGGGTATTTATCTCATTGAGTCCCTGACAATTTTTTTCAGTGAAGGAGCAATATCACCACCTGTCTTCGCAGACTTGTTGGAGATAATTTGTAATTTTTTTTTGCACTACATTTCACATACTTGCCTTAAGTGCACACTTTTTAGTTTTGTTTTTTTTTTTATTATTATTTTGTCAATCTATTGGTAGGGGTGGGTCTACTGCATCGAACACAATATAAATCCATAATAGTTATTTTATTTGTATAACATGGATGTCATTGCTTTTTCGGCGACACAAAATCAAGAACCAGTGAAGCATCATCCAGCGCTACCAAATTCTATCAGGTGTATAATAATAGGCCCATCTGGGTCTGGTCAAAAAAAAAAAAAAAAAAAAAAAAAACACACAATTATTACTTAATCTGATAATGAGATTCCTCAAGTGGGATAGGTTATATTTAGTAGCACCATGTGTAGATGATCAAAGATGTTATGAAGTACTTAAAGATTTTAATGAAAATGCAAAGTCGTTTTATGAAGATAATTACGGTGACATTGACGCAGTCAACGTTGTTGATTTTATAACTGATATTGATGAATCACCATCTGTATATGACCTTGATTCACGTATTAACAATCTCATAGTATACGATGATGTAATGTTGGACAAGTAATCAAATCCAGCTCAGATATTTTCTAGAGGCAGACATAAAAACATAGATGTGATTTATGCTACTCAACGATATACACACATACCTAAAGTGATCATAGACAACTGTAATATTTTAGTTGTGTTTAGTGGCGTTGATAATTATACTTTGCAAACTATTTATTATTCCTGGTGTTCAGGGAACATGGATATGATCGAATTTAAAAATTTCTTTTCAGCGAGGCATGCTACCCCACATGGATTTATAACGATAAATTTACACGATTTCGTATAGGTCTCTATAAACAGACATAAACAGACACGCATAAAAAAATTAAATACAAACGTCAGCGATAAAGTAACAAGATGAGCTAACCCAATTAGAGAAATCTCATGGTCAGTTAGAGGCTTCTGTTTGGCGTTATTGACCATAGTTTCATTTTCGTAGGAAGTTTAATTTTTCATAAATAATGTATCCAGCAAAATAGTCTGTTCTCTCTCTCTCTCTCTCTCTCTCTCTCTCTCTCTCTCTCTCTCTCTCTCTCTCTCTCTCTCTCTCTCTCTCTCTCTCTCTCTCTCTCTCTCTCTCTCTCTCTCTCTCTGCTGCAGCTTAAGCAAGTTTCAAAAAAAATATATATTAAGAAATTAACTTGTAAAATGACAAAAGCAGAAAATATCACAAATAATGAAAATTGCACCAGTTTTGTTCAAACAAATAATTCAGTTAAAATGGCGAATTCTCTGTCCAGATTGACCAATGACAAGAGAGGAGACAAGACTGAAGATTTTGATCTGGGTGTATGACCATGTCAAGAATGAAACGATTTGATAATCTAAAACGGGTGGCCACTGCATGTTGGCTCTCCCTAGCAGCAGTGCAGATAGAGAAATTTTCTATGCTGAGAAAAATTCAGCAATTTTTTCGGGTAAGTTTGTAGGAGTACCTTAAATCTCAAATGAGATGAATAAAATTAACACATTCATTACCTTTAAACGCCTTACTAAACTACTGACAGCAGCAAGGACAGCCTCTGAATAAGACTATATATTACAGTGCAATGGATTAAACAGAGACGTGTATTTTTATTTAATGTCTGTGTGTTTGCGTTTTTTGTGTGTAATATGTGTAGTGATGATAGATGTAAATTCTAAGTATAATATTTCTTGTTTCCAATGTGTATTCAATGCTTAAATGAGAATATGTTATTTTATTTCAATTAAATTTGAACATCTAGTCATTTAATATAGTTTTATGTCAAGATAACTTTTTTATGGCATTGCGTTGTTGAGTCATGTGCACGGACTTCACTTAGACATGGAAACTGTTACTATGACAGCTATGCATCCAAATCGCACTGGTTTATGTTGCGTGAGTTTTTGCAAAACTGTGCTAGCAATGTCTTCACACATACAAATACAGCACCAAAAAGTGAAAATCTGAAAAAGTTAAAATATTTGTTTCTAAATTTCTTGTTTGTCTGGTTACACGTTTCTTAGGACGGACAGACTGACAGGTCAAAGATGTACGGGCAAATGACTGTCCAGAAACTAGATAAGGAATATGGTGGAAAGCCCATGTAAACGTGATGATCTTTTGAGGAGAAAAAGATATAACAAGATTTGAAACATAGCAGCTTTGCCAGCGATATTGGGTGCTAGATTGATACAATTTTCATTCGAGTCCATTTAGATATGAATATGAGCCATGTGGTGAAACTCCGTGCTGATATATCCATCCGTCGAAGAATAGCAATATAAAGATTTTCAAGATTTCGACTGTGGCACCTATTTCACCTGAGATCAGCTAGACATTGTCATTATAAGTCTTCCATATTGATATGATTTTCCACTAAAGAGGAGTAGAGGTTAAACAAGATTTTCAAGCTGATTGCGTTATTACGCCTATATGGCCTTAACTTTGATAGCAGAAAAAAAGCGAAACCAGCTAGTTTATTAAATTTAACAAATAATTTATTTCGTAAAGTTACAAAGAGAAAATTAAAAGAAACTTACAGTAATGTGAATTAAATCCCATATAATCAGAAATGTTCCCTCACAAGTCCAAATGTTTAGAATATTACGAATTAATTGAATGTGCTGATGTACTTGTATGTGTTAATGTAACAATAACCTTGATGCATCGCAATGACGTCATCCGAATGTCTTTAAAGGAAATCACAATAATTACAATGTAATATTTTATTCCACAAAGTTGATGAAGGCTTTGCAATTCCAATGAATATTTAAAATAAATGATTCATGTAAACTTCTATCTGAACACAACAGAAAATTATTACACAGATTGAACTTAAAACAGGAATGAATAATATACTAATTTCATTAGCCCTAAAACACGATAGAATGCCCAGGATACGGGACATCATAAATGGAAAAGCCCACAAAATTGTAAGCAAGTCCTCTTCTAGAACATTCTAAGTTTATAAATAAGGTTAGGCCTTGAAATCTAATCGGAGTCAACATCTATAAAAATAAAATGACAAAGGTCAGACCAGAATTTTACCCTCAACCAAAGACAAAGGTCGAGTACACACTGTAAAAAAAAACAAAAAAAAACATGACATCAAATTAGTACGATTCTTTTTTTTAATGAAAGACCAAGCAGACGACATAAACGATTTTTGGTAAAACCTCGTGCAAATATGTCTGTTCAAGAGGAATAGCAATAATAAGATTTCAGGATGGCTGCCATATTGGAGGTCAGATCAGCACCCTTTTCATTTAGACATCATAAGAAGTATTTTTAAATGTGAAAACTCCATTTTGATATGATCGTTCATTTTCATTTAGGACTGACGACCACATCATAAGAAGTATTTTTAAATGTGAAAACTCCATTTTTATATGATCGTTCATTTTCATTTAGGACTGTGACGACCACATCATAAGAAGTATTTTTAAATGTGAAAACTCCATTTTTATATGATCGTTCATTCTCATTTAGGACTGTGATGACCGCTCCGGTGGCCTAAGTGTTAGTGCGTCCGCCTAGGATGAGTGAGGTTGCGGGTTCAAACCCCGACCGAGTCGTACCAAAAACTTATAAAAATGGTAACAGCATCTGCCTCACTTAGTGAAGTTAGTGTTAGGACTGGTGTCAGGATAATGCGACTGTGTGGGACATCATCCTACGTGTCTGTGGCATGATGCCCCAGTTCTAGACATCACTATCAACTGCCACACTGTAGAGAGTGTAGCGATACAACTGGTGGATTTTTAAAGCTACGTTTAAAATCCAAATTACACACACACACACACACACACAGGTCTGTGACAAGCACTGCTTGAAGCAGTGACATTTTCAAAAAGGCCACTGTAACAACCATACTGCAGAACTGAATTTGCATTATATAAAAGGTCGGTGTTGTTGTTGTTGTTGCTGTTGTTGTTGTGCTACAATAGTTTTTACAGATATGCCCCATCCCCAGTAAGTATGAAACACTAAAAAAATCTACTTAAGTTCTATATGGTCAAAAAAAAATATATGTTTACTTGGAGTGCCATTGTTGTGAGCGAAATCAAATGTACCTTAATTTAGTCATGCTGATGAGCATGTGCACGTGCATCACGAGGCGTCTGAGCAAGATTCGCTTATGCAGGTGAAACCACAGACTTTGACATATTATACTGGCTGGGGCGAGATTAAATAAAGAATGAAAATCCCCCATGCCTAGCAACATACATCGGCCGACAAGCATTTACGAGACCGGAATTGAGTCTGGTTCCTTGCATCTCTAAAAGTGTATTTGGTATTAGATGGCTGCTGAATAATTATTTTTATTTTTATGTTGAAAAGCTTTTTTGTCCTTACCCCATATGTAAACTCAAAATATACAGCATATATATTAAAAATCTAAAATAAGTTAATGATGTTTGCATTGCGTAACAGGCCAAGTTTGCCTTTGAAAGGTCAAACGATTGCCGTCGACTCGCCCCCGCCCCATAAAACATAGTCATGCGTATTATGCAATACATGTATATTATGCGAGGCATACACATATAAAGGTATAAATCTCTAACAATGTTTTCTGGTAAGTTTCACTTGCAAACAAACCGAAAACATCAACATGCAATTTCTTGAGACAGCACAGCGATTCGGAATTACAATTTCTAGCTCCAAATGCCTCTAAAAGTGTCTTATTTCAAGTTGTCGATCAACATTACTGAGTTACCGTGCTGGGCACTGATCTCTAAGCAAAATATTTTTAATAGCTTTTTGATGAAGGCGGATAATATATTTATAGAATGTGACCACATCGTTAAAGTAAAATAGAAGTATCAGAAATCGAAGGTGATTATAACGAGCTTATAACTGTAAATACACCTTAACAAATACATTGCATGATTGTACATGTTTGTCAGCTCGAAGTCGTACAAAAATTATCAAAATTTTTGAACTTTTTTTTTCCATTTCAAAATACACGTAATCTGTAATCACTCACAACGATATGAGACTCAAATAACTTAATAAGTTAATTTGTAGTGGCTGCATATTCGCCGGCTGTGTAAGTACATGGTTGATAGTGTTACCAGTTTTTATGAAATTTAGAATTTAGCCAGGCCCCTTATATTGTTATAGTACTAAATGTTGACACCTTTATTATATTAGTTGTGTTTGTGTACGTACATTTATCAGGAATTTGGAATAGTCAAACCGGTCATGCAAGTAGCTTTTACTCACTTGTCACCTATTCACAACAGACGTTCAACACCCCCACCTACTGCATTAATTTCCTTTAGAAATGCCCTGTCTGTGCTGAGCAGGGTCAGTAGCAAGGTGTTTCGTAACAAAACACTGGTTCCTGTCTTAAGTAATCACTGTCAGGTGTCTACAGTGACAGCAGTCTATGCAAATCATGAGGATGGCATTGGTTAGATAAAGGAATATCATGTGAATCATGTGCAGATATTTCTTAGTTCATTTGCATTCACATTGATGGTGTAACTCAAAGGTGTTAACATGCTAAATTAAAATCTATCACTCTATTTCATGGTTAAAATCATCCTGGGTTGGTTAATAGTATTTTAACAAGATTAAGATAATAAATAATAATGAAGAGAACTCATCTGAATGTTGAATTATCATGTCATGTTGTTCTGGCTTGTCCAATGTTACAGGTGTTTATATTTCAAATGACACTACACTCCAGAATGTCTTAAGTTCATATGTTATTTACAGTATATGTGAAGAATTAGATATTCCCTGTTGCTGCTGTGCTTCACAAAGTAAAATTCCATTAACCAGGCGTTCTGAAATTCTTTTGTTTTACTGGGCTTTCGATGCTTCACTAGTAGCATGTTTCTTACTGAATCACAGGATGTACATTTACACATTTTCCCCGAAAATTAAATCAAATTTGAACACTAATCCGACAACTGAAATACTCATGCTTTGCATTTTATTTATGCCATTAAAATCAGATTTTAGAGAAATGTTGCTGCTATTCACAAACTTGCAAATATTTAACACAGATGCATTAAACATTCTCATATTTAACACAGATGTGTTAAACATTATCATTCAAGGCAATCATGTGTAATAACTTTTGTTCAACATGCATCTCTATTTGAACTTTACCTGTGCAAATTAGCATATGGTCTACAGCTCCACAGAGGACTTAACACATCACCCTACCTATTGTCAAGTCATTTGATTAGAGGATATTTATACCTGACCACCAAGTAGTTGTTTAAACTGTTACAATGATAGTTTTATATGAGTTTAAAGCAGGACTGCTTACCTTTTATACATGCTACATATAAAGGACATATAATGAGGTGTTGGTTTTCTTTTTTTGTTTTGTTTTGTTTGTAACCAAGAATCATGTTTTTGAAACACCACCATGTCATGGGGTATGAGAGTAAATATTCATCTCTTTAGCATGACATGTTATGGCAAGAAAAGGATCATAGTCACACTAGAGAAGAGGTATTAGAAGATGTCACAGGAAAGCTATTTGGTCCATTTACACAGAGCTTAGTACTCCCTGGAAGAAAATGCAACCTATTATCAGGATGTACATTGTTTTTATTGGAAAGAGTAACACTAATTAAACAAGTACATTTTCTATCTCTTTCATCATCATCAAAAAAATGTTTTTTTTTTGTACTAGTCTGAAAAAGTAATAAATACATTAACTTGTTTCAGGAAGCATTGGCACATATTGAGATATAAACCATGGCTTTACCAACCATTCCATGCTACTGGTCAACAAGAAAAGACCTTTATGAGCAGGCTATTGTCAAACGCAGGAACCATGATGTGGATTTCCGACAGAAATGGGCTAATGCAGCAAATTATTTTCACAAGTCTGATGTATCCGCATCTAAGCAGAAAGCTTGGGAGTCAGAAGCTTTGAAAAAAGACAGGTAGATATGAGCATGATTACTTATTGCTTAAAAAACAACGTATTGAATTTGTAAGTGAGAATATTGATATTTTGCATTACAAATTGGAGTTATTTACTTCGTGAAAAACATGATCAGTTGTTCATGGACTGTCACTATATATTGATAAATCATATGGTCTTGACTAATTTGTTCTAGGCATTTAAATTGTAATTATGTGAGTAACATTTGTCTTGCAGCTTTGACGTTTACAAGAAGGAGAAAGACAAAGAGGAGAAACGACAAAATTTAGAGCGAAGACGTTTAAAACTGGCACAAATGTTGAAAAATGAGAGAACCAGATATGAAGTAAGATGATAATTTATTGATGTTTAATAAATCAGATAAATGGCTTTTGTTGTCATCTCCATTAGGGAAACATTCAACATTTTGTGGCAAACAATAATTAGATATCATCTGTGGATCTAATCAGTTGTTGAAATAGAGCTATCAGATTAATAATTAAATAACCAACTGACAATGCTGCTGCTGTCACAAATGTACAATACTCTCTGTTTATAACATTCTCCACTGTAGCCATAATGTGTGCTGCTTTATAGTTTGGGGTGCAGTATGCTAAATAAAACAATAAAATAAATCCCAAATTACAATCCCATTATGTTTGTCCAATTTTCTATTTTAATAAGCAGAAAGTCTCAGCTTGAGTTAAACAATGTCAAATTTGAATGAACATTGTTGAAACATTCCTGCTATGGCTGAATATTAAAGGAATTATACTTTTGTTGTTGTTGTTGCTATTATTGTTATTATTATTATTATTATTATTATTATTATTATTATTATTATTATTATTATTATTAAAGAGGGTTGCACAATTAGATAAGAACTAATGTACCTTGAGGTTCTCGTACAAAGAAATTTATTTAGTTTAGCTGCATCTCTGACGCCACTGGATATACTGGGTTTAGAAAAAGAAAAGAGTGGGCATTTCTAATCTCAACTGGAATACTATTCCAGAGCCAAATTCCAGAGTTATTGTAAACTTTTTTAAATAATTCCTTATTTGGTTTGGGAATTTTATGATATTTGGTAAACATGGATTGAAGATGGGGAGCATTGCCTATGTCTGTGTATGATTTACACAAACAGTACTTTAATTATAGTTCTGTGATATAATTTTTTTGACATTCATTATTATTTCTATATAGTTATAGGATTTGAAGTTCACATTTTGCAGGATTGATGTAGGCTGTAGTCTGTTTTCAGTTGTCATGATTTCATCAACTCTCTCTCAAATATGAATATATATTTATAAATCTTTAAATCTTGAATAACTAAATTGTTGTAGGAATAAGCAATAAAACATGTATTCCTATATCTGCCATCCCATAATTTGACAGTAGGTAACTTTAGTGTGAAATTTAGAGACTTACTGGAAAAATATATTTCACATTTCTTCATTCCTATATTTTCACTTATAAAAATATATGATTTCCCATCATCTCATGTGATTCTTAATCACATGTGCCTACAAAGGTTGCACCTGCAGCAAAAAAAAAATGATTACTTTGAAAGCTAAAACAAATAAATTCGTCTTTTTTGCATTGTTTTTAGATTAAGTCAAATGGTTTACAAAATGACAAAAATGTAATTTTTGTGACAGATAAAGTCATGCAAATCCT